ACTCACATGAGGCAGAGGCAGATGCAGAGTGTCACTCCAGTCTTGAAGGAGTTACACTGGACTCTCCTGTCAAAAAGAAAGAATCAAACTGACTTTAAAAAAATGTAGCAGTGGTGATGTATTAACACCAATATGCTTGCTTGAGCTACTGGCTTGAGGACAATCAAAAACCAGCCAGTGAGACATAATTTATATTTGCTGATCTATAAGCAAGATCCCATATTAAAATGACAAAATGCTCTTTAGTTTCAAACAAAGAAAATTTGCAGGAAGCTTTAGTACAAAAGGGGTAATGTGTTTGTATGAATTATGCTCCTACAATTTTTTTTTAAAAAAATTAGATCGTTGACCCCAATACGTAATGGTACTTGAGCCGCAATATAGAATGTATAATAAAACATTAACTTATCAACTTGAGGTCATTGTTTGCTCTATATGACCAGGTTTAATTAAAATAGTTGACTTTTTTCCCATTTCCTCTACCACAAAAGCCAGTTTAGTGCACATTGGAAGGAAAGAAAATAGCACTGCATATATAATACTCATGTCAGGATTCTGAAAGAAAATAATACATCTATTTATTGAGACATAAAATGCTAAAATAAATATTTAAATAGAATAGAACAGAATAGAATATTTTATTTGGCCTAGTGTGATTAAATAAACAAGAAAATCGTCTCCGGTGCAGAAGCTCTCAGTGTACATGCAAAAAAGCAGCAGAATAATGAAAATCATAATAATACCAATAAGAGGGGATAATAAGGATAGTAAGAAGGATAATAATGCTACAGTCATGTTACTTGGGTAATTACATATACACGTTAGACAGCAATGTGAGAATTAGGTGTTTAGCAGAGTGATGGCACAAGGGGAAAAAAACTGTCTAGTTGTCTTGGGATGCAATATCTTATAGCACCCTCCTGAGAGAAGGAGCGGAAACAGTTTGTGTCCAGGATGTGAGGGGTCTACAGTTACTTTCTCAGCCCTCCTTTGACCTGGACAATATACAGGTCTTCTATGAAGGCAGGCTGACTGCAATTATTATTTCTGCAGTCTTAACTACCCATTGGAGTTGGTTGCTGTACCAAACCAGACAGTTATAGAACTACATATGACAGACTCAATAAAAGTGTAAAAGTGTATCAACAGCTCCTGGGGCAGTCTTAACTTCTTGAGTTGACGCAGGAAAAACATTCTTTGTTGTGCCTTTTTAACGATGGTTACAATGTTAAGTGTCCATTTCAAGTCCTGGGAGATTAAAGAACCCCAAAATTTGAAGGACTCCACTGTTGATACTGTGCTGTTGAATATGGTAAGAGTGGCAAAATAGAAGGGCTCCTCCTAAAATCCACTCTCATCTCTACTTTTAAGTGTATTCAGTTTTAAATGTTATGTTATGTGAAGAAATGTTAATAGATTGCAAGAACCTATGGAAGTATCAAGCAAAATAAATTCAGAATACAGAAAAATTATGAATAACTCACTCTTACCAGTGCATGCCGACCTTTCTCATTTATCAGCCTGAAGACTGAAATCCAGCAAAGCCCCACTGGCACTTGCACAACATCTGCCCAACTTTAACATGGATTCCTGATGGAAAGCCAAAGGGGTGGCTGAATGCCCTGACATAGGAAAACATATAACTGACTCCACAAAAAAGATGCCAGGCTTTGAACTACCATACCAGCAATGGACAATTCTGAATAGGATTCACATCTCACACGGCGTCTGCAGAGGCTTTCTGTATTAATGAGGCATACATTACAAAAGATAAGCCTAATTTGCTAGACTACTGTAGTGATTGTGCACCATTTCTGAGTTAACGTGTGATGACTGCACATGTTAAATTACTAAAATTATAATATAAGTTATGTTGTCTTATAAAACTTATAACTTATATTATAAAATTATAATATAAGTACATTATAAGTGAGATTTCCATATTTGTCAACATAAGAGCAATTCCATTGATAAAACTCAAATATGCTACTTGTATGACTATATATGCAAAAACAAGACACAAACTTAGAACATTTAATTACAGAAGATGGTTCTTGCTATTTCAGCTACTGCAGAAGGAATGATGACTCTTCTTTAACCTTGCTATAAAGATTAGAAGACAGCTGTGAAAACAAGCACATTCTATACATATCCATCCCTTCTCAAAAGCAATTCCTATTCCCTTTTAACTGCAGCAAAGAGAAACTTCAGTATCAGAATTAATCACACAAATGTGAAATAATATTTCTGTTGAAACCAAATCTGGCAACCATATTCAGTCAAGTTTCTGCTTTTATCAAACTCTGCTAAGTTTAATAGCAGCAACCCTTAACTGATGGACCGCATGTGGTCTCTAGCATTCCTTTGTAATATACCATCAAAATCTGGCAAAAAGAACTGGCTGTTTTCCACAGCATAATTCTTTTTTCTCTAATATAATACTGAAAAGGTTAGCAGGTAGTCTCCTGGAAGACTATTCAATATTGCTAACAGACACCATGGCAAAGATTAAATATTTTACCTGATAAATTCAACATATTCTGCTCTTTTCCTGGCATTGCTATATTCAGGAATGTGTTTCTATCCGAACTAACCAAATTTTAAAAATTCCTTCATTTCCCAGATTTTAACTCCAACTTTATCATTTTTTCCTGCCAAAGTCTATTATTCAATTTTGATGCCACTTCTGAACTGTTGAAAATATATGAAATATAGTTGACATTGGGCCAGTCACTCTCTGTCAGCTCACCTCACCTCACTGGGTTGTGGAAATAGGAGGAAAAAAGAGTAGATATGTTTGCCACCTTGAATTATTTATAAATAATAAAGGTGAGGTTTAAATAAAATAAATAAAATTTATGTATAAATCACCCTGAGTCATTATGGCTAAAAAGCAAGTCACAAGGATAATGAAACTGCATTATAGCAGGCTCTTCTCTTTATATAGAGGACTTTATCAATTTGTTCTGGACTTATTTTTATTTGCAATAAGAATTTCATCTATCATGACTCTAGTCTTCCATAGATGGCCAGTACTATAACAGTATACCCCCCCCAAAAGAACAACACCCTTCTGTTATTTCTATCATAAGCCACATTTTAATTTTGTACACATACATTTAAATATTTCCATTTGAAAGCTTTTCTCATGTTCTATTTCAAAATTACATATTTTTTAAAAATCAGCAACACATACAACAGTAATTATCCTCATAAAAATCATAATTAAAAGAATAATTGATAAGATATACATCCTTCCTTTTCCCAAGCAGCAATGTTGTAATGGAGTCTCAATTAACTTGTTACCTATTCTCCAGATCTAGCTAGTAAGTTGCTCAATGCTATTTTTCTGTTCTTTTGCTAGTCAATATTTATTTTCCCTCTAGTTTTCAACAGTAATCTCATGCTCTAAGCTTAATTAAAGACTCCTAGTCTTTACAGGCTGCTAACTCTTCTCCTATAGTTAACTTGAACATCCTGAAAAGCTTTTCTGGGCTTGAACAATACAAAATTTCTGGGCTATAGGCAGACAGAATGTCCTTAATACAGAGAGCTACAGATGAGAGGAGATAGTTAAGTGATTTAAAGATTCAAGTTTTCAGTGAAAAATATGTCAAGTACTGGAAAATCTCCAAAATTCCATTAATGTTGCTATATATTCGATATACACCAACAGCCCAAAGCATACTGATAAGTGCCACATTATAAATTTGCATTGAACACATTATCTGAAATTAGTGTATTTTTCATCCCTCTTCTGGTTTCTTTTATATTTGATCAATTACTGCAATTAAAAATGATTTAAATCTTATGAATTTGAATATTTTTTTTCATAAATGTTGACAATTATCCATACAAACAAAATGTTTGTTAGCTAATATGTTACTATGTTTAATCACTGAATTAGAACCAGATATTCTGCAAAGTGAAGTTAAATTGGCCACAGGAATTGGTGAAATATCAATAGAACTCTTAAATCTGATAAAAGGATGCAGAAAATAATTTTGTAAACAAGTATGGAAAACAACTGTGGCCAAGCGAGTGAAAAAAATCCATTATGTCTGAATACCACAAACAGGTAATGTTAAGGAATGTTCTAACTAATAAACAATTGCATTATTAATATCCTAATAAGATTATGGCCAATATTTTGCAACACAGATTTTAATAATACATGGAACAAGAATTTCCAGATATACAAATGGATTCAGAAGAGATGATTGCACCCAAGATCATTTGGCCAATGGGAAATGAAAAAAGGGAGAGATCCAAAAACAATAATTTACAATAATTAATTATTTCAAGCTTGGAAGGACAGATATGTTTTAACCATCTTCTTAAACAGCAAGATATTAGAAGCCAGAAACATCTTGAAAACATATTTCAATTCCAAACAATTGCAGGACTATTTCCAGCTGAATCAGCACTGTCTGGAGGAAGAATGGAATGTTTCAGAATTCCTTGGAACATTCTGTCTCCGAAATGTAACATTTAACACACTTATAACTATTGCATGGCCAAATACATAAAAAGAGGTCTTAGATTTAGGCAATAATGCAGTGTCGACTACAGTGGTAACAAAAACAGGGCTTGATAGAAACATAATTATCAATACGACTCTAAAGACTATGTGATCCAGGATAAAAATAACCAATATTTATTATCGGCAGATAGAAGTGAGCATGATTTATGTTCATTTAAAACTTAAAACAAAGGAGGAAATGAAGGAAGAATTTAGATCATGGATGTCAAACTTGCAGTGTCACGTTGCTGTCATGTGATGTTTCATGATGTTTATTCTTCAACAAAATGGACAGGATTTATACAAAACAATAAGCATGTAGTCAACTGCTATCTGTCCTTTAGTTCTCTCTATAAACTGCTTAAACAGAGTTTAAGTAGTTCCTTAAATAAGCACTTACTATCCCAAAATATAGTAAGACATTCTTGCTTTTGTTAGCAATAAGGCTCAGTTATGAAACATACATTTGTATACATACCAGCTAAAGTATAATCCATATCAAATCCAAAGCACTTTATTTTTTCCATGGCTAGACTTCTATTCACAAAAACCCTGCCAAAAAAAGGTAAGAAAACCAATAGTAAGTATTGTTGATATGAAACCTGAGTAAACAGCATGAGGAACACATATGCTTCAAACTATCCAAGAGTTATTAAGGGAACATGCCAATGGACAAAATGACCGAGATACATTTACAGTGATCCTGAGCACATTCACTTTGGAGCAAATGCCACTGGACTCAGTAGACTCATCTGGAAATAACTTTATACTGTACAGAACTGGGCTGTTAATCTCCTAAATGCAATAACATTGCTGGATGCTATCAGTAGTAGTTGTACTTTTTAAAAGATTTTTAAGAGAGCCAGATTTTTCATTTATATAATATGTACGAATAGAATTAACACAAATTACAGATACTAATCAAAAATAAGGAAAAAAGGATGAAATAACTCTCATTTCTTTTAACTCAACGAAAATAAAAGCAATTTACTAAGAAGGTGTCATGCTGGTTGTGGATTGATAGTTTGCCTACTAATTACATAAAATTGTTTAATATTAAAATTATTCTCAAAAGCAAGCCTATCTTATTGTATTATTAAATAATCTCTGATTTAAAAATGGCACAGAAATTACACTCTAATTCCACTAATATATAAATGCATAAAAGGTAAAGGTAAAGTTGTAGCAAGTTTTACCCCTGCTAGTTGTGACTGACTTTAGAGGGCAGTGCTCATTTCTGTTTCTTAAGCCAAAGAGCCAGCATTGCCCAAAGATGTTTTGGTACTCACGCAGCAGCACAAAGCATATAGCAAAACATGAAGTATTGTTACCTTCCTGCATGCTTATATGCAGTACCTATTCATTTACTTGCCTTTTCATGCTTTCAAACTGCTAGGTTGGCAGGAGCTGGGACAAGTGATGGGAATTCATTTCATCTGGCAGCACTTGGGTCTCGGACTGTCAAGGTATGGACCTTTAACAGTTTAAGACTCAACATCCTAACCACTGAGCCACTGTGCTCCTTATAAATGTGTAAAAATATATTCTTTACATTAAATTAATTTAAACCAATCCCTGGACTAGCAACTTTATATTCAAAAATATACACAATTGTTTTTGTAATATACAATTCAGTTCTGAAGAAGCTTCTTGGATGAGAAGTGAAATGTTTGCAAGGAAAAAAAACAAAAAAGTCCAGTTGCCTCTTGAAAAGAACCTTTGGGACAACCATGACCCGAATGATTGAGAATCTCCATAAACTTTCCTTTCCTCCTTTAATATTTCATCCAATAAGTAGCATGTAAGTGCACCATTTATTACATCACAATGTTGTCATTCTATACACTTGCCTCTCTCATGTCCATGCATTCTCTAGTTGCCTTTAGTTTAACTTTATGTCTGTCTATTCTTGGTTCTGAATTCATTTAAGAAATACTGATCTCTTTAGGCAACTTATCTGAACCTAATTTTCCAGGGCTTGCAGACTTCCTCTAATTCCCTTCTTGGCCTTACTCTCTCATGTACAGATTTAGACTAAGCCAAAACTTAAAACCAAGGAGGAAATGAAGGAAGAATTTAGATCATGGGTGTCAAACTTGCGGTGTCACGTGATGTTTCATGATGTTTTTCCCATTCGCAGAGCTGGGGTAGGTGTGGCCTTCACATGACACATCCAGCCTGCGGGCCACCAGTTTGACATTCCTGGTTAGATCCTTCAGCTAAATATTATTCTTCAAACATTTATTTAAAAGAATTATAGTAATCAGCATAAGAAATACTTTTGACTACAGCATACTGCCAGAATCAATGATGTATTCACCAGTCAGCCACTGCTCACCTTTGTAAGAGATTTCAGTACATATTTCCTACAAGGCCCATTCCAGATAATAGTGCATCACTCTGAGAAATGCAGATCTTAATTTGCTGATGACACTAAATACATGAATATCAGATGCTTGGCTCCTCTCATTACTGTGCGATGCACTAACTTGAACAATTAGCTAATCTAATTGCAGTTTCAATACAGCAATTCGGTTGTTTCTAGTGTATTTCAAAAATTAAAGAAAAATCTTTTGAAGATCTTGCTTTTTTTAATTGCCCTATTAAATATATAATTGAAGGAAGGAAATTACTTGGTTGGGAAATATGCTTTAGAAAAGTAATTGATTTTTTTTATTAAATAAAGTACTGAAAATATGCATTCTATTATAAGACAAGATTACAGTTAACTTTTGAAAGATTTCAGAGGAATTAATCAATCCAAACTGGTGGAATAATGCTTTCTGTATTAATGAAATAAATATACTACAAAGTCACTAACAGGCTTTTTGTATCTTTAGGTACTATTTGGATTTTCTTTTTAGATTTATAGAGTAAAGAAAATTAAAGTAACATTTCATTTATACAGGATTATGAGGTATGCTAAATATTTAAAAAATGAACAAATATATCCAAAGATAGAGCATTATTAACTGCTTTTAACCTCAGAGATTTCCCTTCCAAAATTCAAGTACTATCTAAACAGCTAGTCTTAATATAAGACAATTTACAATTACAAACATTTGGATTCCAAACCATTAACATTTAAGGTCAAACTATCATATATCTGCACTAACCAACTTACCTCATCATCTTATTTGGATGTTCTTCTTGTAAAATTTGTAGCTGTCAAATCCACGTTACCTATTTTTTAAAAAGCTCCCTTCCCCCATATATAAGCAATTTTTCTTTTTTTCTGGCTGGATTTCAGCATAGCACTATGCGTGAAACAAACAGGGAGATGCCACGTATCTGTTTAGACAGTGCTAGAGAACACAGATCTGCAGCAAATTTAATAAGTTACAGGATATCACTGTTCAATACATCTCCGTTTGGAATAGAATCTCTCTGGCTATATGTTTTATCCTTAACTTTCAATGCAGCTCTAAGAGTCACAATTTCCTGGCAAGCTGCCTGTTTTGGCAGTGAAGCATAGAAAGTACAACGATGGAATGAGATAGGAGGGAGGAGAGACAGTTAAACATGACAAAAGTTACACAACAGCTACCATCAAAATATACGAAAGGCACTATAAGAAATATTGCAAATTTATGATGCACCGTATGAAACCCTTGGGATATCAACCGAAAGGCAGCATTGCTAAATATCATCATGGCTTTGAATAAACAAGATATGATTCATCGTTTTCATACACAAGTTAGACGGTTTGATCTTTGGCAACAGGATCATCACAAAAAGGCTGTGGGGCTTTTTTGTACCCTCTCAGGATTCTCCAGATATAAATATAGATATTAGTTTGTAAAGTAAAATGAAATTTTTATCTATGTTTATATCTGGAGAATCCTGAATACAACGGTCCACAGAATTTGAGTTCTTTTTGACAGTTTAGGAATCTCATCTGAAAAGCAGGAGACTGAAGAAACTGCATGTTCAAATCCACAACCAGTTAACAGTCTGTTTGGACAGAACAGTATTGGGGTGGTAAGCGCACCACCACAATTAAAGAATGGTTCTCTCTGCACTAGAAGGGTTTGTTCCAACCAGGTAATGTGGAAGAAATAATATGGTTCCTTCTAATTTTACAGAAACTTCTTCCTTCATACAGCTAATCTCAAAAACGAGTAATTTTAACACTATCTAGGACAGCAAGGAAGAACTAATTTGTGGTGATAGTTAAAACATCAGGCTACAAACCGGGAGACCATGACTTAGAATCCTGACTTAGATATAAAGGCAGTTGGGTGATTTGGGTTCAGGCTCTTTCTCTCGGCCATAGGAATCAGGCAATGGCAAACCTGAGTTGAAGGAACATGCATGCCTGCACACATACACAAACACACACATACACAAAACAAGGAAAGAGACATGTTTAAAAATGTCCCTTTTCCCTCCGACATATTTTGCCTTTTTTCTACCCGAGTCCTCGAGACTCAGAGAATATGATCTTGCTCCATGCCAGATAGAAATGTTGATCTTGGTGTCTCTCTGAATACTAAACATTTTTGTGGTGATCAGCATGGCAGCAAATAAGGACTACTGAACAGTTATGATGGTTTTTATATACAAAGGAGACTATTTGGAATATAGAAATATATTCACATGCACTTTTTTTTTTTTAACACAAGCAGATTCTATAGTGGATTTGTCCTTCCACAAAATGTTGAGTATTAGCTTGTAAGGATTAGAGGCAATGTCACTTAGAATGACTGAATGAGGGTTATACTAAGGATACAGGCCGAGAGATAAATATTCCTTGAAACCAGTTCGTGTTTAGTTCTCTCCCACAAATGGATTGAAGGCATTGCTCAATATTGCCCAACCTGCATTGTATCCTCTAAGGTTCTGGTCTAGATAAATATTTTCCTAGATAAATAGCTAGGGTAAATACATAGATTAATAGCTTTGATCCTTAGCAGCCAGGACACTTAGATTACAATAGTGTTTAATTCAGGGCAATAACTGGAAGGCCATTCATATATATATATTGTCTCATGGAAACAATACAATTTACCAATTATTTATCTTCCATCCCACATATGCCAACTGAATTGGATAATAAAAGTAATATTTGATAATGATGTACTGCTAAGATGGAAATACTTACTTTTCTATGCTATTTCTTTTAATTACTAAATAATGAAGAATATTGTAAGGGAATTCCAATAATAGCTCAGAGTCACTTGGTGAAGAGATGAGCAGTCTAGAAATGTAATCAAACAACCAATGGTACAATATACCTATGTGGGCACTTATAAGGTAAAGGTAAAGGTTCCTCTTGCGCATACATGCTAGTTGTTTACGGCTCTACGGGGCGGTGCTCATCTCTGTTACAAAGCCGAAGAGCCAGCGCTGTCCAAAGAGGTCTCTGTGGTCATGTGGCCGTGGCTGGCATGACTAAATGCCAAGGGCACATGGAACGCTGTTACCTTCCCACCAAAGTGGTCCCTATTTTTCTATTTGCATTTTTACATGCTTTTGAACTGCTAGGTTGGCAGAAGCTGGGACAAGTATCAGGAACTCACTCCATTACGCAGAGCTAGGGATTTGAACCG